GTGTGTGTGTGTGTGTAAGTACTTGTTCACATGGTGGGTGTGAAATGCCTTGGGGGATGTTGTTGCCTGGAAGCCACCATGTCTCTGAAGGTGAAATAACTCCAAACAGGCGCACACCTATCCTCTCACCATTACCCTGCAAACCTTAGGGACGCACACAGAGTGCTTTCCCATGTCTTCAGTGTGTTAATCCAGAGTAGGGGTTAGTCTACTCTGCTTCAGATGTGTGTATGTGCGTGTGCTTATATTCCATAGAATAGATAGATATTAGGTTGGTCTGTTTAGTCCGCCCATCTTTCTGCCTGTTTATCCTCACTGCTTTTAATCTTTCCTTTGTCGCTCCTCACAGAAAGACAGACTGCAGTCTCTTACCCTACTTGATGATTGACATTTACTCCCACTAGCCTAGCGCCTAGCTAACCCCCAAGAGGGAAGCACAGGCAGACTCAGTACCTCTACCTCAACCACAGCAGCTACAGCAACCACTACAAGACAGGGGAGCGTAGTCGATACCGTTTTATCATAAATATCGGCTATTGAGTATGTGTTTGGTTGTTCCGTGTGTGTGTGTGTGTGTGAGCGTCGTACAGTCACGGTTAATTTACAGGCTGACAGGTGCCTGACCCGACTGTCTCGCTGTTAATCAGTGTGTTTTTCTGTTTTATGCACATGAGGACAAGTGTATGCATGTATGTTTATTCATGTGGTGTAATTAGCAGAATGTGTTATCGGCAGTGTGTTGACCCCCTGAGCCCGGGTCGTACTGCGGCCTGGAGGGCTGATGGCTGGGATGTAATCCTCCTGTCACCCTCAGGGCACGGTGGGATGAGGGGGGCTTGTGTTCCCCTGCCTCATACGTGAACCCTCATTAAACCCACCACACCCCAAACACGCACACACACGCTTCCCATCGCTAGCACAGCTTACTGATATGTTGAACCTGTCAGCATGAGCACTTCTTTACTAGGGTAACAGACAAAAGAGAGAATTGGCTGTGATTGTGAACTTTGTGCCCTGTAAAGATTGATATTATTGGAATTGTTTGTTATGTTGTGTGTCTTATCTTATTTCTATCTTGTATATTTCTCCTGTGACAACTACATTTAACCATAGGTTTGCTTGTCCTTCTGTGCCGGCTGTCCCTTGATCAAGTCAAACATCCCAGTACCTTGTATTTCATTCATTGTATAACTGTCCCCCTGACACTCACAATGTTACTGACAAACCTGCTTCTTTTCTGTCCCCCTGCAGCAGTTGCGAGCTAACATCAGAGAGATGGAGAAGCTGTGTGCTCGGGTCCGTGCTGAAGACGCCGCCGCTCTGGAAGAGCTTGTCAAGCCAGTCAGAGACAGGGCGTCAGCCGCCGCACGGGACTTCTTGCTTTTGCACTCTAACCCCGTGTCTCAGCCACCAACACCTGCCGCTCAGCCATCCAGCTGTGCGTCCAGCAGTGGCCACGCTTCTGACGATGTGGACGAGGAGCCGGTGTCTGGCAGGCAAATTCAACTCCATCTTCCAGAAATCCCTGCTGACCAGAGTGCAGCTGAGTCCTGGGACAACCTCGAAGAGGTACGTCTGGACCCTCCACATTTTGAACAGAACCCCTAACATACAGTGTGGATATCATACTCTATTTTATACTTACTTTATTATATCTTCTTTTTAAAAAAAGGTAAACAGCTTAATGCTTAAATGTTCTAAACTTAATTTAACTATAGTAAACAACACACTAATAGCTGCCAGTGCCAGTTTTTCAGTTCTTAGAAAAGAGGATGATGAAATCCGAATGAAACAACAACAAGGAAACCATTTTGACTTGTCGTTGAAGTAAAAACACACAATTTACTAATAACATTAACAATGGCTTTGTTCTATTAAAGTGTCCCACTAAGTCATGACAGTGTGACAGTGAACAATACCAGAACCCTGAAGCTGAAGCAACTAAATGGAATTCAGCCATTATTAATATTATTATTTACGCCTGTGCTTTTTCCACATGTCAAAAAAGGCCTATGTTGAATTAAAATCAAAGCACTATCTGGTAAAGCACAAGTAAGTAGTTCCCAGCCTTGGTCTATACTAAACGTTGCCATGGTTACATGCATTATTCATCACTATTGCAAGATCATCTAATGCAATTGACCCCTCTTACCTGTTCCTACAGACGCACTTATTGCACGCTGCTCTACTATAACACACATTAATATTCACTCTCATTAGTTAATGCGATCGTCAGTTCCAGTCACTGACAGTTCGGACGTACTGTAGCTGTCGATTTGTGTGATAAGCACCACAGTTAAATAAATAGTCATTTTTTTCTGTCTCAGGATCTGAAGGAGCTGAGCGGTTTGGTGACGGAGTTCTCTTTGCTTGTCCATGTGAGTACGAACACGGCAATCTGCTGTGTGCTTTCTGGCTGCTACATTCACATAGAGGCATTTCTCTATCTACATGTGTGCACAGCTACCCCTGTGAACGAAAACAATGTGACAGAGGCAGTTCGCCTATAGCGTTTCCAGGAAGTGGCGTGTGTGTGTGTATTTGACCATGTGTGCCTGTGTTGCCTGGTAAGGCTCCTCCGAGAGGAGTTTACAAAGATCAGCTCAGGACTACTGCTGGGGCCCCAGAGGCCCCTTCACCAAGGCAAGGGGAGAGATTGAGGAGTAGACGAGGGCGAGTGGGAGGATTTGGGGGAGGACAGCGGGTTGTCCACAGGGGGAGAGGAGGGGGAACAAGGGACACATCGGAGCAGGTGGAGAACAGACGGCTCAGATTATCACTCTGTCCTCAGGGATGGAGAGAGAGAAGCAGGGATGGCTGAGTGAAGGAGAGATTAACGGTGAAAAAGAAAGAGAGAGAGTGAAGACGTAGTTAGGGTGAAAAAACAGACAGAGGCCTGGGGAGGGAGGGTAGAAGAGCATAGACATGTTGTTGTGGTGTCTCAAGGGTGAAAGACGCCGTTAGAGGAGTAATATTCCAGCGCTCAGCCACAGTGGAAATAGTGAGTGAGTGTGTGGTTGTGTCTGTTTCTGTACATGCGTCATGTTAGTGGCTGTTCCGATGTTTGTGTTCTTATCTATATGTTCTTTCTTTATGTGTCTTCTAGCCTGATTTACAATTATAAGCCTGTAATGTGATTGCACTTTCTACTAGGTTTAAAACTGACTGATGCACTATTTCAATTATTCAAGAATGTATCAAGTGTTTCTGATATTATTCATTTATTTTGGAAAATGTAAACAGCAAATGCCCATCACGATGTGCTAATGAGCTAATGTGTCTATTGTGTCTAATGTGTTTCAATTTATATGATTTCATTTCATTTAAGATCATCATAGTTCAAAAACAGAGGCTGTTATATGATAATATGAAACAAAAACAATAAAAAATTTACTTAATAATAAAACAATGCATTGTTTACCAAAACAATGTTGAAGATGCACAAATCAGTTAATCAAAAGATTATTTTAGCACAGCCTTTCACCTTTGATAATAGTAGAATTTAAACCTGTCATGTTGCTTAGAAGGCCATGAGGTAAGATTAAATAAAAACTATTTGACAAATGTTAAACACATTCTCACCACACAGTCCATTTAATGGAGCTTTCAATCAATCAGATGGAGTTTGCTCAGTTGTCATGGAATTGTAGGTGCCCCTTTTATCATCCAACTACTACTAAATGGACCTTGTATCTTAAAAAAAAAACATACTCAAAACATGTGACCACATTTTAGGGATATACAGACTTAATCATTAGTCTATTAGTTGATCAACAGAAAATTAATCACTTACTGTTTTTATAATCAAATGATTGTTTTTGTAATTTTTCCTTTGTTATTATTTTATTACTATTGTTATTTTATTGTTATTGGGCATTTTATTCCTTTTATTAGATAGCAATAGTGGAGAGATGGAAACAGAGGTCCCTGATTGAACTAAAACCGGGGACGTTCCATATATTCCTCTCCCCGTTCTAAAGCATCTCTAATGTGAGGATTCGTTGCTTTTCTCTCTTTTATATCATTGTAAACTGAATATCTTTGGGTTTTTGACAGAGAGCCCAAGATGTGAGGCATTTTTCAGTATTCTCTAATATTTTATCCAGAAAATAATCAGCAGTTGCGTCTCTTGTATCCAGATTAGTGAAGCCGTAATATAGGGGTCCAAGTGAGGTACAAAACTACTGTCTTCAGCCAGAACAGTTTCAAAACCTTTGAAACCATCACAAAATAACAGGAAGCTGTTACATGGGTTTGTGTAAGAGAAGCTGTAAAAATGGACAGAGAGGTGAAGGTGGGAGAAGAGGTGTTAAAGAAAGCTGAGGCAAGAAGAAGAGGAGAAGGAGGAGAAGTGCTCTGGTTGTTGTTTGGTCACTGTGTCCATCCAGCCCTCACATGGAGAGAGACAGCTGCCACTCTGAATATTTCATGAGATCTACACAATGCCACACACACACACACACACACACAGTGAAATCCCCTTTGAATATACCTACAGCCTCCACACACACCTTTCCTATGTTAACTTGTGCTGTGGAGCAGAATTTGGATAGATAAGAAAAAAACGTAATACACAACAGGTGGTTGCTCTGTCACGCGCGTGCGTGTGTGTATCTAGGTAAATGTGGTAGCTGGAGTGTGTGTGTGTGTGTTAATATGTGTTTGTGTGTCTAACCCCTGTGCATCAGTCTCAGCAGGGGAAGATTGACAGCATAGAGGACAACGTCAACACAGCCGCTGCCAACGTGGAGGAGGGGACCAAGAGCCTGGGGAAGGTGTGTATATGTGTGTCCTGATGATCTGGTGTGTGTGTGTGTGTAGTGTTTGGGAGATGGGGGAGATCGATGGCACTTTGCCTCCCAGCCATTCCACAGCGTTTGTCCCTATTGATCCACTCGAATACGGAGGAAAGCTGCAATTAAGGAAATAGAGAGAGGAGAGGGATAGAGAGGAGTGGAGGGGAGGAAGAGTGATAGAGAGGTAGGATGAGACAAGAGAGGGTCTATGTGTTT